TGAAGGAATGGGGAATATGAATGGGAGAAAGTGGCCGAGGAATGGCTCCTAAGAGATGGGAGAGGTTCCGAATGTTGGGCAATCCCAGGGTTGCCCAACATGACCTATTACCTGATACATTATTTTGTTTATTTTTTGTTAATTATTGTGATTATTTCTCATAACCCAAGGAGGCAGGTGTTAACTGTGACTCACACAAGCTAAGTCACGTTTCCAGCCCTCTGTATATTATAACATGGCTAAGTCAGGATATCTCTTGTTATTGATGATGCACTTATTTTGGTGGGCAGCAGTATTTTCTTTTGGTACATAATAATTTAGTTTAGAAAAAGGGAGGTATTTGGAAGTAATGGGAGATATCATATCCACTTTTTTTTTTTTTTTTTTTTTTTTGAGACAAGGTCTCACTATGTAACCTAGGCTCACCTCAAACTGAAGGCAGTCCTCCTGCCTCAGCGTTCCAAGTGCTAGGACTGTAGGCATGTGCCACCATGCCCCACTAGAACTTTTTTTTTTTTAGCTAGGCTTTCACTAAGTCGCTCAGGCTGGACTTGAACTCAAAATCCCCCTAGTTCAGCCACCCATAGGGCTGAGATTACAAGAATGCATACCATGACAAGCTTTTAAACTTTATTTTCAGAATAGGCAGGGTTTTGCTAACTTGCTCAGGTTGGCGTCAAACTTGTGAGCTGCCTGCTTCGGTCTGTCAAGTAGCTGGGACTATAGGGTGTGTGTGTGTGTGTGTGTGTGTGTGTGTGTGACCCAGCCCAGGCTCCTTTTTAGCATTATGTTTTATCAAATCTAAAAAATGGCAATGACAAAATATTTTTCCCTAAAAAAATCTATAAATCTTAGTCCTAAATTGCTGTGATCCCTCAGAGTATTAATGATATAGAAACTTCAAATGAGCATATTTTTGCTGTTTATATTTTTAAAACATCGTAATCTAAATGGAAATTAGGAGCTGGGGAGATGGCTTAGTGAAATAAGCGCTTCCCTGGCAAGCGCAAGGGCCTGAGTTCAATCCCCAGTTCTGCAAAAAAAAAAAAAAAAAAAAAAAAAAAAAAAAATCATCTATTCAAAATAAATAAATAAATAAATGGAAATTAACCGAGAAAGCTGCTAGTTTTGCAAAAGGGCCTTAACACAGGCAGATTCATCTACACATTTATATCTAGAATTAGTTCTAAACAGTATGGAATTATTCGTTTACTTCCAGTACCATGTCTGTTTCTAACCACAAAGACAATTACATTTTTCTGAATTTAACCAGTAGACTTAAAATAAACAATGAGCTGGGTAAGCTGGCATGCGGCTGCAGTCTTCAGTATTTAGGAGGCTAAGGCTGGAGCCCAGGAGCTTGAGGTCAGCCTAAGCAAAGCGTAAGGGCAGAGGTTCGAAAGAGGGCATGGGGAAGGAGAAGGAAGAAGGGAGAAGAAGACAGAAAACTTTTAAAAATAATGAGGAGGCCAGACACACCCCTGTAATCCCAGTACTTGGGAGGCTGAGTTAGGAAGACCACCTTGAGTTTGAGGCCAGCCTGGGCTAATTAGCAGGAACCTGCCTCAATCAATCAATCAATCAATCAATCAATCAATCAATAAGAGACTCAGGATGTAGCCTGTGGTAGAGCACATAGTTAGCTTAGCATGCTTAGGGCCCTAGATTCACATCCTTAGCACAGCAAAGGGTGGGGGGTTGAGGATGTACCCCAAAAGTAGAATCGGGAGACACTGGGCTCCATCCCAAGCATCAATAAATAAATGAAGGGACTGCCAGAGAGCTCAGCAGATTAAAACACCTGCTTAGGCAGACACAGGAACCGGGGCTCAATCCCCGGCCTGTTGTGCTAGCCCTGTCCCCAGGGTGCGATGAGATGGCGATTGAGACTGGGCATGGTGGCACACACCTGTAATCCCAGTGCATGGGAGGCTGAAAATAGGAGGATCACTCTGAGTTGGAACTGTGTAGTAAGACCCTGTACAAAATACATAAAAGAAATAAACAATTATAGGAAGTGATCATTAAGTTGAAGAAACTGAATTTGAATTATATAATTCTATCATTCCAGATGACATGGAGTTGTTATTTATATTTAAATTTTCTGGAAATTGTTGTGAAATATTCAAGTTCTTTTTTTTTTTTTTTTTTTTTTTTTTGTGGTAGTACCAGGGGATGAACTTAGAATCTTGTGCTTGCCAAGCAAGCACTTATTCCATTGAGCTATCTCTTCAGCCCATAGTTGTGAAATACTACTTTTCTGAATCATGGTCAAACTTATCCTTTTGCTTTAAGAATTTCTATTAGTATACCTGCTACTTCATGTGAAAGGAACTTTTTGAAACCAAGTTTAATGAAAGGGCCTTCAGGCAACCATAAGTTAAACAAACCTGATTATATTTCTTTTCTATTTTTTTTTTTTTTTTTTTTTTTTTTTTTTGAGAGAGGGTTTCACTGTGTAGTTCAGGCTGGCCTTGAGCTCAGCATGATCTTCCTACCTCAGTCTCCTGCACCACCATGCCCCAGCTGCCTGGTTATATTTCTGTGGGCTATGAATACATAAAGATTATTTTTGACAGGTCTGGCCAAATAGCTCAGCAGATTAAAGCGCTGCAAGCAAGCACAGGATCTGGGGGTTCGGTGCCAGCCCACCCTCAGGGTGCGCTGAGACAGCAATTGAGACGGCATGGTGACGCACACCTGTAATCCCAGCGCTTGGGAGGCTATAAACAGGTGGATCACTACAAGTCCGATCTAGTAGTGAGACTCTGAACACCTTGTAGACTCTTCCCTAAAAATATAAAAAAATAAAAATTAATATCTACAGGGCTCAATGATTGAAAAATATGAACTGTCTTGAATGTTTTTTCCTAGCTCCCATTATTGCATTTCATTATTATTACTGAAAATATTTTTTTTTTGCTCTGAATGCCTTCAGGGCAGGTTTGGCTGGCTTGAGTTGTGGGGATCGAACCACAGCAACCTGAGCCTGACAGCTTTGTGGAAGCAGCCTCTTAAAGAACTGAGCTAAGGGGCAGGCCCCCTGAAAATAAATTTTTTTTTTTTTTTTATTAGAGAGAGAGAGAGAGAGAGAGAGAGAGAGTGGTGTGTGTGTGTGGCCAGCTCAGCCCACCAGGGGGCGGGGCTGGCTGGCATGTGGTGCTGGGGGATTGAACCGCGGTCTCTGATGCCTTGCCAAGCTTGTTCCAAGTAGGTGCCTTAGACCACTGAGCCATCTCTCCAGCCCCCCTGAAAATAAAATTTTATCAAAAAAATTTAATGATACACTTGAGCATCAAATATACTAAGTATATTCCCAATTCCTTATCAATTTAAAAATTGAAAAGTTTCCAATTTTTAAAATTTTATTTATTTATGTAGACACAGGGCCTCACCCTGTAATTCAGGGTGGCCTTGAATTTTGTGGTGATTCTCTCACTTCGGCCTCCCCAGTACTGGGATTAAGAGGCCTGTGCTACCATGCTCTGCAAGATGTCTAACTGTTGAGATCCCGACTGAGCCCATCTCAAGATGAAATAATTCTTTTTTTTTTTTTTTTCTGGAACCGGGGATTGAACTCAGGTCCTTGTGCTTGCAGGGACCTGAGCTTATTCTACTGAGCCATCTCCCTGGCCCTGAAATAATTCTTTTAAATAAATAAATAAATGCACGCAGGTGAGACCGGGGAGATAGCTCAGTGGCTTAAGCACCTGCCTGGCAAGCTCAAGGCCCCAAGTTCGATCCATAGTACCCCACTGAAAAAGAGAAAAAAGAAACAAAACAAAACAAAACAAAAAAACACATCAGCTGTAGCTATAGTGGGCTTGAGTTCCCTAAAGGAAGCAATCAGTTGGGATCCACTTATCTCATTTTAATTGGACTGAATTCCTTACTGACATCAACTCTACCAATTAGGCTGGACGCCTGCTCTCCACACAGCCCACCTGCGATCGGTAGACTCTGACAGCTTCCCTAGTGTGAGTCTCACCCGGCCCTGTCCTTCCTCCTGCCTTTCTGGAAAAACATGGTGATATATTCATATTTCGTGTAACTATTGCCTGTTGATAGGAATGTGTATGGCACATATTTCTGTCCTTACACACCAAAGTGGCCCTGCGTATTACAGAAAATGTGGGAAAAAACCACATTTCTACCTAGAAGGGTCGAGGCAAACACGGAGAAAGAAGGATGGTGAGACAGATGCTATGGAGAGTCCCACGCCGTTCATATTTCCAGGCTGATCTTCAATTTGCGATCCTCCTACTTCAGCCTCCCGGAGCCCTGAGTTCATTTTTTTAAGAGAGCCTAAGTATAGCTATCGTTTGGGGTTGTCGTGAGCATTCATTAATTTCATTCCAATACATATCTAGTGCCTGCTGGCGCTGTGTCCTGAGCCAGGCTCTGGGATTAAAACAGGAAATAGAGAGGTGGCTCCTGCTCTCACGGAACCAATAGCCTAGTGGTAAGAAAGAAAGTGAAATGGTTTCAAAACGAATTAGAAGTTAAGGATCTGTTGTTTGTTTGTTTGTTTGTTTGTTTGTTTGTTTTTTGTGGTACCGGGAAAGTTAAGAGTCTGAATGAAGGGAACACACTTCAACTCAGAGCTGAAGTTTGTTTAATGTCAAGTGTGCAACAAGAAAATGGAGGTGGGACTTCTGGAGGGTCAACATAATTTCAACTACCTGGTTCTTAGAGTAGCTGTTCAGGTTCAAAGCACTACTAGGAACGGTTCTAAGTATTCTACTTAGATTACCTCATTTAAAAACGGCAGTCTTGAGGTGAATGAGTAACATCATCTCCATTTTCTATGTCCGGAAAGAGGATTAGCAGTTTGTCCAAAGTAACATGGGGCTGGGGGGGATGACTCAGTAGAATAAGGGCTTGCCTGGCAAGCTCAAAGGCCTAAGTTCAATAAGTTCAATCCCTAGTTTCACAAAAGGGCGGCGGGGGGAGCGGGGTGATGTGCAGGCAAGAAAAAGCACTGTCGCACTGAGAATGAGCCCCGTGTGGTTGGTGCGCGAACAGACATCGCACTGCCTGCGTCACTAGGAGAGTAGACGGACAACGTTCCGCAACACACCGCTCAGCTCCCCCAGCTGAGTTCGCTTCTTAGCGGACTAAGCGTGAAACGCGGACAAGTCTACGTGCGTGAGCACGCGGCACTTTCTGCCCAAGGTCCGGGGACTTTCCCCTAGGCAAATAGGTGAGAAACGAGTCCTCCGATTGTAGCCTAGGAAACAGGCCTTCAGCACGAACCTCGGTTTACCAGCTGAGTGCAGTCCACTTTATATCTCCGCAAGCGAGGTCACTTTATAGTTAGAGTGAGAAAGTTAGTGTTATGAAAACTAAAAACAAGTCGCTGTTTAAAATAAAACGTTTAAATACCCACAAGGTTTTTAACGTTTTTCTGGCTAAAAAAAGTATTAAATAGATTAAAAGTGAACTAATTTAGGAAAGCCAGAATGACACGTCTTCATGCAAATATATCTGGTCCCGCCCTACTTGGAAATGGGCGTGGCCTCCCTAGGAAGCCGCGCGAGAAAAATGGCTCGTTGCCTGTGCGCCTGCGCACACGTCACGCCTCGGTACCGCGCTCCCTGCGAGGCGCTAGCAATGGCGGGCGCTGCTTCGTTCTGGCTAGTGCTGGGGCTGTTGCTTGGGTGTCCGCTACTCGAAGTTCTCGGAGAGTGCCCCAGCCGCTACTGCAGAGCACATCCAGGTACCAGCAAAGGCTGCTCATGGGAGGCTGGAACTGCCTGGGCAGAGTCTCCGCTGTGCTGACGGCTCTTCGCCCCCTCCCTCCGCAGAGCACCGAACCCCGGTGGGCCCTGGGGCCACCGAACCCTGGAGGCGACTGGCGCCTCAGGACCAGCGCGAGCGGGCCAGGGCGCTACCTTGGGGGACCCTGTACACTGCGTGCGTCGTGGCCTTTGTGCTGTACAAGTGTTTGCAGGTGCGGAGCGGCAGTGAGTGGGGTGCCCCGGGCCCGAATCTCCAAACGGGGCGTCGTGGTATAAAAAAAAAAAAAAAGACAACGCCTGCCGACTGCCTGTAGAACAAAATAGTTTCTTGGCTTCCTCGCAGGTGCTTTTGTTTTTTGTTTTCTCCTTTGGTGGTACTGGGGATTGAATCCAGGGTCTTCGCAGAACTATATCCCTAGCCATCTTTATTCTTCTTTTTTAAACAGGGCCTTGCTAAATTGCCCAGGCTCCCTTACTATGAGGACACAGAGAAGTTACTGGTTATTGCAGGCGCCGGATAAATACAGACCGTCACATTTCATTTTCCACAGTCCAGTGAAGAGCGAGCCTTTCTTGGGGGTCACCCATTGTCTTTAACTTCTTCAGTGCGGTTCCCAGCGAGGTTCCAAACTTGGCACAAGTGCTTGATTTGCTGCAGCCACAGTGGACCTAGAATTCAAACCACCAAGTAGTCCCAGATTCTCCTTGGGAAAGAGGCCCTGAAACGTGAACTGACAGTACATTTTGGTGGGTTGAAACTGCTAAAATGGAAAAGAAGTACCGTCCAGGGCTGTGTCTTCAGCCTGGATCCTATCACTTGCTTTAGGAAATAAAATGGTTGAAACTGGAGATATGAAATTAGAAGAGATAGCTAAAAATGATCCCAAATAAATATGATAGGCAGTGGTGAGTCTGATTTTTTATTTGAGACAGGGTCTTGCTAGGCCTTGAGCTCACTTTGTAGCCTAGGCTGGCCTCATATTTGGGACCTGCTTCATCCTCCTGAGTGCTGAGTCTGATTTTAATGATAAATTTCACAAGATTAAACTCTGTTCTATGGGGGCTGGTGAGATGGCTCAGTGGTCTAAAGCACCTACTTAGAACAAGCTTAGCAAAGCACAGGGACTACTGTTCAATCCCCCAGCACCACATGCCAGCCAGCCCCGCCCCCTGGTGGGCTGAGCTGGCCACACACACACACACACACACACACACATAAATAAATAAAATTAAAAAAAAAAAAAAAACAACTCTGTTCTGTGGGTCCAAGTATTGGTCAGGAAGAAACAGCTTACTTAGTAGCTGTGAAAAGCAGACCTTCCACCTGACTCCTATGGAAATTCATTATGTGATGAGACCACTTCCCAAATCAGTGCTCAGAACGGAAGTATTGTGCTTCATCTACTGGAAGAATTTTATTCTCATCAGGGTAGGGTTTCAAGAGCACTTTATGTGCTCAATAAAGCACATACAGAAAAACATGAATTGAGCACTAACAGAAAAGATTGATGATTTTACACCACAAGACTGGAGAAGGGTTAGGGGTGTGGCGCTGTGGCAGAGTCCTTGCCTAGCAGGCAGGAGGCCCTTAGGTTTGATTTGACCATACAGAATGGGAAGGAATGAGTCTTCAAATTCCTGTAAGGCTATCATGTTGACGAATAGACGGTACTTGGAAAGCACTAACTTATCAGCATCATGGAAAGAAAAAGACTGTGGCTTCATAGTGACAATCAGCTTTATCAAATGAACTTTCTCATTCCTAGAAATGTTTCAGCATTGATCACATGTGGGGCATACTGATATGTTGTGTGAAAAGATGGACTGGAAATGATTGTGATTCTTTGAGCTAAAATAATTTTTTCAGTAGTTTTTCCACCAAAAACTGTGCTTCTCTCCTTACTGCCTTTAGAGACAGATAGTAGAGAATCTTGCTGTTGTAATATTGCCCTTTCTTTCCTCCACAACAGGGCAAAGATGAGGTTGCAGATCTCCAAGAAAAAAGCAAGAAGGAATCATTGCAGTCAGGTGAGTTCAACTGTCTGTGCTTGGTGATGAGAGACTGGGGACAGCAGAATATGAGTAACCATGGCCCCTCCCCTCTCCCTCTTTAGAGCAACAGCTGGCCCAGTTGACACAACAGCTGGCTCAGACAGAGCAGCATCTGAACAACCTGATGGCCCAACTGGACCCCCTTTTTGAGCAGTGAGAATTTGTGGGGGGAATTTGTGGTAGGCGGGAAGAATAGGGACAGATTGGGTAGGCCCTGAGTGGGTATTTCTGCAGCATGACTGCTCTGGTTGGAACCCAGCGGGAGCTTTTGGATAAGAAACTACAGACCATTCATCAGCTTCTCCAAGACTGCAAGCCAGAAAAGGGTGTGCACACTCCAGAGTCAGGTAAAGCGTTGGGAGTAGAGTCTGGTAAGGGTAAGATAAAATCTTGGAAACTGGAGCATGCTGATCTTTCCCTTCCCAGAGGCCAGCATACCCTTTCCTGAGGATTTACGATTAGATGAGGAAAAAGAAGAAGAGGCTGGTGACAGTCAGGCCTGCAAGGAGCCTGTGAACTGGAACCTAGCTACTTCCTGGCAAGTGGAACAGGGTCTAAGGAGAAGATGCAGCAAGCCTGTGACAAAGGGTCTCAGGCACAGCCCCCTCCAGGAAGAAAGGATAACTCCTGCAGGTCTAGTAAAACCAAATCTGTTCTTGTAACTGGATTCTCCTGTGTACTTTTCCCTCACCACTGATCATACATACACCCATACTAGGTGAATAAGGATAGCCAGGCCTCCTTGAAAAGCTCTCCTTATTAGGACATAAGAAGCTGCCTTCCAGATGAGAACAGAGCAGAGGGAGCTGCAGTTCTTTTCCTAGTATTACTGAGGCCACCAGCCTTCACAACCCAGAAATCCCTTTTCTCATAGCTGAAACAGAATGATCTTTTAAATAAATAAATAAAAAATTTTATTAAAATTCAGGGGAAAATAAGTTATACCATCACATTAAAACGGTCTCATTTTAAAAAAAGTCACATTTTCAAATTTTCCATCTTGATAAACAACTGATCATAGATAGCATGACCTTATCAGTCCCAAAGCCCCTATGTTGGAAGGGCTGGTTCAGCTTATGTGCAGTTGGGTTACAATTGATTTCCTAATTCATTCTTTCTCCCCCCAACCCTCCCCCCCTTTTTTGGGGCAGGATCTCACTGTGTAATGCAGGTTAGCCTTGAACTCTTGGGTATCCCAGGCTGGCTTGGAACTCACAGTGCTCCTCTTGCCTCAGCTTCCCAAGTGCTGGGACTACAGGGTGGGGCCAGCACTGCACGGCAGGGATGGAACCCCAGCCTCTGCTCTATGTCTGCCTAAGTAGGCACTTGAATCCGCTGAGTTGATTGGCCGGCCCTTGGTTTCCTAATTCTTAAGAGCTGGTCTGATGACCCAGAGTAGCTTGGCAAATACAGAATTACCCTTGTTAAACTAGGAAAGTTCATGAAAAATTCTCTTTGTTAGAAGATCCTTTTGTACTCTTGATTCTGACCTGTCCCTGAAGTGTCCTGACTTTTGGAATTTGTAAGGTTCTTCTACTTCTTCTGGCTGCTGTGGTGAAAATACAAACAGTTCAGACATTAGCAAGAGCACTCTTGAGACACAGTTACACGGAGACTTGGGAAAGGTTACAGGCAGATGTCGGAATGAGCTAGCATCAGACACTCATTGCAGTCATGGCACTTGCACAGCATTCTTCTCTGGGAAAACACAACTTACCTGATAGCCAGAGTCAGACTCTTATACCAGTGTGAGAGCTCCTCCTGGTCTGTGGACATAAGCAGTAGCTTCTCACTGGGGAAGGAGAGCTAGAGAGAGACTGCCTCTTAGTGCATGGTTTAGAAAATTCCAGGCTAAAGCCCTCTTTGTTGCCATAGAGGTAATTCAGGGATGAGATAAGAACTAAATATGAAGGCCAGCTCTTCACTGTCTTACCTTTCTCATTGCCATGAAGAGGGACTCAGGCCAAGGGGATAAACAGGTCCATAAACATTTGAAATATATTTTTTACCTAATGTTCCTACTATTACTTACACTGAGTAGTCCACCACAAGGACCTCCCGAGTGGCCAAAGACCCTGCAGAGTTGACACTGGGCCATGGGGTAGAGGGCCCTGCAGGCAAAGGTGCCACCCTTCAGCAGGTGCAATGGGGGTCGAGGCTTGGCCATGAGAAGCACATCAGAGAAGAGGAAAAACATCCGGGGCCGAGGCTCCCCAGTGGGAGGCACCACCAACAGCCAGCCTTGGTGTAGGAACCAGCGTCCTAGAGAATGGGAGGACTGTTAACCACAAGAATGGAAGAAAAAGTGGAGGAAATGGTATGTGCTGGCTTTAGGGAGAGGTAAGCGGTGGGCAGTTGCATGAGGGGGAAGTACATGGTCAACCTGAGGTGAGCCCCTTTGCCTGGCGTCCACTGAGCAAAGCCTGGACACGCCGAAGGTGCTGGTCATTCCTCTGTTTCTGACCAATGGTGCGGACTCTCTGGGCAGTCTCACTTATCAGCCGGGCAGCCCCTGGAATAACATCCTGTACATCATCCCCAATACATTTTGACTTTGGGTGACTGATGATACAAGAGGCTCTTCTGGAGGTGATTTAGGTGGTGCCTATTTTCTTGAAAGGCATTTATAAATAAGGATGCTATACATAGTAATGGAAGATAGAGACCTACCCAACACTGGCAGCACAAAACCAACAAAAGCAGTGGTGGAGAGGAGAACCTACGTGTGAGCTGTTGGTGGTCAGGGCTGTTAGGACCTGTGTTTTCAGCCAAAGCAATGATGAGATTTTCATACCTGGAATTGGACAATGGGAAGTCTACAAGAGGGAAAAGAGTGAAACTCCCTCTGCCTCTGCTTGACAAGATCAGTCCACCCACATCCTTCACATACAGGGCCAGGAAAGGACCTGCTTCTGGACATTGTGTTCCCTTCTACCTGGGACGCAGGTCAGGTTAGAAGATAGTAAATTAAGCCAAGGAAGATGTCAGCACTTAACTCATTCCCAGGAACTGAAATTCTAGCTGGGTATGGTGGTATATGCCTGTAATCCTGGCTCTTGGAAGGCTGAAGCAAGAGGAGTGCTAAGAGTTCAAGACCAGCCTGGGCTACATAGAGTTGAAGGCCAGCTTGAACTACATAACAAGACTATGTATAGGGTTAGCCCCTCCTCTCCACATACCCTGTGTCAGACCCTGGTGCAGGCCCTCGTACTCCAGTGTGGAGTTCCACATTTCCATGCCTGACACTGCAGATCCCAAGTGCTGAGGATTCAGTTACTCAGGTAATTTGGCCCAGGGGAGGTGGGGGGATAGACCCCTTGTTCTCTCACAAAGCTGAGGGCAACCGTCAGTCTCAAGAGGCTGGTGGGTCAAGGGAATTCACTCACTGCTGGAGCCGCTGCAGAGGCAGAGGGAGCAGGTCCTGAAGCTGAAGGCCTCCAAACTGAGGGCGGCCTTCCTGAAGCCTCACAAACCTCCGGAAACGTTTGTTTTTCTTTAGCTGCTCCTAGAGTGAAGGGAAGAGAGTTTTGGCAGCAGGGAGACAAGCCACTCCTATCATGCCCCTCATAGCCTTCATAAGTGGTGTGCTCTTGAGAAAAACCTGGGCTCCTTATTCCCAGTGCTGGGTACCCAGAGGGCTCTAAATGCAGGAACTGAATGAAGATTAAGGAGCAAGCAAGGAAAAAGGGGGTGGGTCTGAGATCATCCCCAGTTACCTGTAGGGTTGCCTGGGACCTCTCTGCATTTGCAGCAAATTTGGCATAGAGCTCCAGGTGGGTGCAGAAGCCTTCTAGCCCCTGTCCCCAGTGTCCTTCTTCCAAGTAGGGAAGCAACTCTCTGTGGGCAAGAACAATAAAAGGGCAGCCCAAAGACGACTCAAGCACACCCTCAAATCTTCTAACCTTCTAAGTGTCCCATTTTGCAGCTGGTGAAGCGGGCAGGTTAAGGCATTGGGCCAAGGTCACAGCTGTGAGAATTGGCAGGCTCCAACTATGAACCTGTAATTCTGCGCTGGGCCAGAGGCAAAGCCCTCCCTCTTTTCCCTGTGTTCTTTCTACTCACTGGCTGGCGCCATAAATGAGCTCCCAGCACCCAAACAGAGACTGGCGCTCTGGAGGTTGCAGGGTACCCTTGGCCTTCAGGATCCCCAAGAAGTACTGTGGAAGGAGAAAACACGGGGATCTGATGAGTGGAGAAAAGGGCCAAAGCCATCGCACAAGCAGAAAGTGTAGCGCCAGCCCGAGCTCCCTACGTAGAGGCAGACCATCCACGACCCACCAGGCTTGGGGGTCAAGGAACTTAGAGGCCCTCCCACACCCTCGGGTTGCCGCTCCGCAGCCGGGGGCCCGCACCGTGGCCACCAGCCCCAGTTGCTCCTGATAGCGCCGCTCGGTCTCCAGCAGCTCCCGGGCGGTGCAGGCACGTTTCCGCTCCCATCGAGCACGCTGCTCCAGCAGCGGGCACCGCGCGCCCTGGCCGGGGTTAGCCATTGCCTGACTAAGGCCGGGATATTTCCGGCTGGAGCCCGCTGGAGATTCAAATCCTAACCGCTACGGGGCGGAGCTACAGACCCGAGGAGAGCGCAGGACGGAGCATGCGCAGCAGCCCCGGACCCTCCGGGGCGCTTTCTGTGCGGCGGGAAGCGGCTGGTGTCTGGCTCAGCTCGGAGAAGCAGCCAGGACTTGGGAGTCCAGAGACCAAGGAGGTACAGCTATTGGCAGAGCCTTGGTGCCCTGTCTGTAGAAGTGGGAATGGAGCCATAATTAGGGTGCATATTCTGTCCTGGATCCATGGCAAACACAGAAGGTTCAGTCTTTCCAAAGCTTTCACTACTTAGGAACCTTCTGGGCCCTGGACAAAAGTAATTTTTAAGCTACTACCGTTTTTCATTTCATACCGATGGAAAACCAGACAGTCCACTAGCTTCTGCCAGGCATCAGTAACATAGTAGTTTGAATCTGCTGTAATTCTGATCCATAGCAAAAGCTTTGAGGTGGTACAGCCTTGTCAAAAATACGTATACCGGGGGCAGGTGAGATGGCTCAGTGGTCTAAGGCACCTACTTAGAACAAGCTTAGCAGAGCACAGGGACCTCGGTTCAATCCCACACACACAAATAAAAATACGTATACCAGATCTTTTAAAAACTTAGGCTGGGGGAGATAGGGCAGCAGCATTAAGTGCCTGCCTCACAAGTGCAAGGTCCCCAATTAGATCCTTGGTACTGGGGAAAAAAAAAAAATCTTACTAATTAAGAGCCGGCCAGACAGCGGTTTACAGTGCAGGAACCAGGGTTCAATCTCCAGTTTGGTATGCCAGCCCAGCCCACGAGGCAGGCTGAGACCACAATTGAGACCCGGGGGGGGGGGGGGGGGGGGGCACTGCGGAGTGAGGGGGGCGGCCCGAGGGGGGGGGGGAGGGGGTGGCACGCCTGTAATCCCAGCTCTTAGGAGGCTGAAAACAGGAGAATCACTAGGAGTCTGATCTGTAGACCCTGTACTGAATACAAAAGAAGAACAACAACAATTTAGGGCCTTTCTGGCACGCACAAGGTCCTGAGTTTGACTCCTGGTACCAGAACAATGAAAAAATGAACGCAGACCTTTTGAAAAATTGGAATTAGCTCTGGAAGATAAATTGGCAATGCCATTTTGTTAGTATGTGCCCAAAATCTTCAAATGTGCCTACATTTTAGACCTAGAAGTCCTAAGAAATGCATCCTAGGGGCTGGGGAGATGGCTCAGTGGAATAAGTGCTTCCCTGGAAAGCACAAGGGCCTGAATTCAATCCCCAGTTCTGCCAAAAAAAGAATCCTAAGAAATGCATCCTAACTAGTTACATGAAGGGGACCGGGAGATGGCTCAGTGGAATAAAGCGCTTCCCTGGCAAGCGCAAGGGCCTGAGTTCAGTCCCCGGTTCTGAAAAAAGAAATATATGTACCAAAATATCTAGCAAATACTGTTTATAACAAAAAATTGGAAGCCATTTAAATGTGTAGTGCTAAGAAACTGCAGGAAAACACACAAATTACATTACTGAGAGCAAAAAGCAAGCTACAAAGATGTATGTGTAATATGATCTCTTGTATACAAATAAATGAAAGGTTGGAAGACTAAACAATCAAAAGCAAATTGTGGTTTTAATCTCTGAGCAAGGAGACTGAAGATAATTAAACAAATATGTATTAGCACCTAACCTGTGCCACATAGTGAATCGCTGAGATGAAAGGTATGAACAGGGGAACTTGTTAGCAAACTTTTCTTCGCCTGTCTCAAAAATCCTGATTAAGCATGCATTATTTTATAATTAGGAAGTGTATTTTTTTTCTTTTTTTCTTTTGTTTTTCTTTTCAAAGTTTTATTGATAAACATATAGCAATGAGACAGTTTCAAATCAAATCGAAAGTACAGTTTCAACAAATAATACACTGCATATGTTCTTCTTAGTGGTTAATTGCTGTACAAGATGCAGACTTGTGATCCTACTTACAAACACCATTAGAAAAAATCATTCTATTCATTACGAGAATGCAACTATATATCTATCCCAACCACTTTGAATACACAGATACAAAATGGATATTCATAGTTATACCCCAATTTTTTTAAGTTCCATTGTTGAATATTATAGGTGTGTAAACTCAGCAAAATATTCTAAAAGAGTCCTGTAGCCCATAATAGCATTGGGTCTTCTGTTTAACTGGCAATGTCAGAAATTATTGACCTGAGTCCCCCACAGCTCAACATAACAACATGGCTTTACTTCCTATATTTCGTCTTCATACTTTTCTATTGGATGGTTAAGACCAAGGTAAAGCAGGACCTGTGCAACAAGAGTCGTAGGTTTTTGGTCTGAGAAGGTCAGTGAAATGCCCTCAGGATTTATCCTGAGATCCTGTACCTCAGATTGTAGAACCTTGGTCAGTGAGGAAGTGTATTTTATACTAAAATGTAAAAGGGGAATTTTAGACCCCATTCTGAGCATTTTGGACTCTTAGGAATCTGGGCTCCAAGCCAAGAACCAAGGGATTGTCAGGGTTCTAAGCTCCCCTCTAGCTCTGACATTCTAAGAATTCTGAGAATGGAAAAATGCTGGTTTAGCCCAGGAGGAAAAATAAAGCGTTTGGACAGACTGTATCTTAGGTTAAGATCCCAAGAGAACTGGTGACACCAGATAGGGGAAAGACTAGTTAATAATGTCCCCACCCCCCCAAAAAAAAATGTCCTACAAAATGAGAGACAGTCACTAATAGCTCAAGTAAGGAAAAGGAAAGATAGTCCCATGGTAATTAGCACTATGAGCCCAGGAGGTGAGAACAAAGCATGACGCCCCGGGCACCACTGGTGATGGGTTTGTGTGATTATAGTGCCAGTGTGTGTGTTTGAGTGGATGGAAAAGAGGTGGGGACTACAGTTCAGGTAGCAGAGTGGGGGTGGGGCATGGGACTGCCCAACTCTGAAGGAAGAACAGGACAAATCTGAAAAGATACAGTGACAATATTCTGGGCATGAAGACATCCTGTGTATCCATTTCAGCTCTACCCTATTGATAAAGGACTAAGTGGTGTCCCCATAAAACATGTCCATACCCATAACCCATACCCAAGCCTCCAGAGCCTGTCAATGGGTGGAAGACCAGGTGGGGAATGGGCTTTGCAGATATAATGAAGGATCTTGATATAAGATCTTGGATTACCTCAGTGGGCCTTAAATCCAATGACAAATGTCTCTAAATGATATCCCATGGATCTGGGCATGGTGGTACACACCTATAATCCCAGAACTCAGGAGGCTGATGTAAAAGGATTGGCACAGGTTTGAGGCCAGCCTGAAGTACATAGCAAGCCCTTGTCTTTTAAAAAATAAAAATTGGGGGCCAGGGAGATAGCTCCGTAGAATAAGTGCTTGCCTGGCAAGCACAAGGGCCTAAGTTCAATCCCCGATTCTGCCAAACAGTTTTTTAAAAATAATTTTAAAAATACAGCTATTTGGTGGGATAAGCGCTTCCCTGCCAAGCCCAAGGGCCTGAGTTCAATCCCTGGTTCCACAAAAAATAAATAAATAAATAAATAAAATAAAAAATACAGCCATAGACAAGAGGAAAAGGCCTTGTGGTGGAGGCAGACATTATTATCTTGCAGCCATAAGCAGAGGAGACACCAGATTCTTGAAAAGGCAAGGAAAGATTCTTCCCTAAAATGAGCCTGGGGGCTGGTGAGATGGCTCAGTGGTCTAAAGCACCTATTTAGAACAAGCTTAGCAAAGCACAGGGACTGCGGTTCAATCCCCCAGCACCACACGCCAGCCAGCCCCACCCCCTGGTGGGCTGAGCTGGCCACACACACACACATACACACACAAATAAATAAATAAATAAAATTTAAATAAATAAATAATAAAATGAGCCTGGACCTGTCAACAGCTTGATTTCAGACTTCTGCTTTCTAGAAATGTGAGAAAGTATACTTCTGTCATTTGGGGTTTTTTGGTTCACTGTGTAGTTTAGGCTGGCCTTGAATTCACTATGTAGCCCAGGCTGGACTCAAACTCACAGTGATCTTCCTGCCTCAGCCTTCCATGTGCTGGATTATAGACTTGTGCCGCCACACCAAACTCTGCTTCTGTTTTTTTAAAGATATTTTGTGGTAATTTGTTATGGAAGCCCTAGGAAACTTCTGATGCAGATGGGGCAGTGGGCCCAGACTGCAAGTCTGCCTGAAGGCCCCAGCAGCACTCTGATCTTTGTTCCCAATTCATGGCTAGAGAGAAGGGAATTTTTCTCCTACCCAACCAATGAACAGCTCCTTTCTCTGCAACCCAGGGTTATTCAGAAGCATGTTTTAGTAACATGTTCCTCAGTGTTTCATGACACAGACCTAATGTCTAAAAATGTAGGCTTAAACAACTGCAGAGTGGTCCCATGCTGGGTGGGAGGGCACTAGTTGGTTACTCTTGAGTACATACTGTCCTAATCTGAGGAGACACCAGACACAAGAACTCTGGGAGCTGTGAAGTGTTTTAGGGTCGGACAGACTCTCATCTGTGACAATCTGATCCGGAATTAGAGTGCACATCTCCACCCAGACAGAGAATGGGCCACACAGAGAGCAAGGAAAGAACTGAGCTGTAAGGAAGATGTTTGGAAAATCAGTGAGCTGTAACTGAGAGTGCTGCATCTACCCTATAGGCAGAAGCTGTAAGAATGAAACAAAAGTATAGTGGAGCCCCAGGAAGGTGCAGAATACAGGAATGTGGAGCACTGAGGAAAGCTGCTAGAGAGAAGCCATGAGGGCTACAGCCACAGGCAGTGAAGGCCCTAGGGGCCGCATAACCCAGGCCCTCTGGCATTCACATCGCATTACCACAACTTGTCCTGGGGGCTGGACATGCAATTATGGAATTTAATGTTTCCTTTCCAGGTTTTGGGCTTCCTTTTTTTTTTTTTTTTTCGGTACCAGGGATTGAACTCAGGACCTTGGGCTGGCCAGGCTGGCACTTATGCTGCTATCTCCCCAGCCCCCATTGGTTTCTTTCTTTTCTTTTTTTTTTTTTTTACTTAATTTATTTTTATTTTTAAAAGTTTTTAAATTTTATTTTAGAGAGAAAAATAAAAATAAAACAATTTCAAAGTAGGCTAGTAGGAGAGTAACAATAATTAATGCATTATGTATTGTTATCATCATTGACTTTTTAATGTATTTAGTACAGGGTCTCACTACACACATCAGACTCAGTGATCCTGTTTTTAGCCTCCCAAGGGCTGGGATTACAGGTGCGTGCCACCATGCCCAGTCTTAGTCACCACCACAGTGTACCCCAGGGGAGGGGCCGGCATGCCGGGATCGAATCCAGTCCTTGGTCCTGCCTACACAGGTGCTTTAGTCCACTGAGCTATCTAGCCGGCCTCTTCATTGACTTCTGTCTGCCTACTAGGCTGGTTATACTTACTCTCTGCCATTGTATATTGGAAGTGTTTTCACTTTTTTCCAATTTTTACAGGGACTTGTGGGTAAGAGTTTGCTTTAAAAGTGTGAGATAAGATGTGGGACTTGGACTTTTGAGTGATGCTGGAACTGGTAGGCCTTTGGCAAATGCAGAGCTTAAAGATGGACCAATAACAATTTGCATAGAGATGTGCATGAGTCTTTTGGTGGGCAGAGGCAGAAAGTTATGGTTTGTAGCTAGATATTCCTTTAACCCTTTCTGTAATCATAGGTGGGACCTTTGGAAGGTGACGGGATTGTAGGGGCATTATAACTGACTTGCTGTTAGGAGGTAGGACCTCCTCAGAAGAGGTGGTCACCATGGGTGTGGCCCAGAAGGTTGCATCTCCCTTCTCAGCCCTCCTCCTGCTTCCTGCCCACCATGCTGTGAGCAGCTCTCCTCAGTCCTGCTCTTCTGCTATGCTGTCCTACTATATAGCAGTGATAGATGTCGGGCTCAGTGATGCAGAAAATAACTAGGATACATCCCCACACACACACACTTCAAAGATCACACTTTTAACATTATGCTCATCCCATTTCTCTGGGAAGAACAGATAATACAATGCATGAAGAAAAAAATGAGAAACAAGAGAATACTGGGAAACATAGGGTAAATCATGATATTCTCAAAGAGTTTCCTTCCTTCCGTCTTTCCTTCCTTCCTTCCTCCCCCCACTCTCCTACCCCTGCCAACATTGAGATTGAACCTTCTCACTGAGCTACATCCCCAGCATTTATTTTATATTTTTGCTTGTTTTTTTTTTTGTTTTTTTTTTTCTGAGACAGGGTCTCACTAAGTTGCCTAGACTGAGCTCAAACTTGTGATCCTCCTGCCTCAGCCTCCCAGAGTGCTGGAATTACAACCATGTACCAGCATTCCTGTCTTCACATACAGTTTTGCTTCAAATTTTAATTATTTCTAAGATAAGACAGATATATTCTGTCTTGCAGAGGCCCATCCAATTCAGATGTATCACATGCCCTCCATGTGTCTGGGTCCAAGCAAGGTGCTGACTGACAACACGGCTGACTATCCAGAGTACATGCTGACCCAGGTATGGTATCGCACACCAGTAATCCTGGCACTTGGGAAACTGTAGTAAGAGAATTGTAGGGGGTTTGACACCAGCCTGGGCTACATAGTGAGTTGAAGGCCAGCCTGAAGTACAGAGCCAGTCCTTGTCTCAGTAAACAAACCAACAAAAATAAACCAGAGTGCTTGCTAGATCTGACTGCCGTGGATGGCTCTGAATTTGGATTAAGAAAGGCAATCTAGAGGGGCTGGGGAGATGGCTCAGTGGAATAAGTGCTTCCCCGGCAAGTGCAAGGGCCTGAGTTCAATCCCCGGTTCTGCCAAAAAAAAAAAAAA